TGTGCATGAAAGTGCTTTGTGTGTTAGGCCAAAGAAATGGTTCTTTGCCATGCAAATGTCTCTCTCTCTCTTTCTCTCTCTCTCTGTCATACACACACACCACACCCAATGTTCCCCCAAACCAACCAAAAGCATATAATCTAATTCTTTTCTGAACATTTTATGAGATTGGAATGGGTAGTAGCTATGGAAAAGATCATCTTATGTAACTCAACCTTAGCATCACCTTCCACAGTTGCATATACAAACCCATTTTCCTGTAGATGCCTCCCATAGTCAACATGGTAGTTGGGAAGAAACTATGTGAATAATCATGTTGTTACTCCCCAAATAAACAATGATGGCTCCAGTGAAAGTACAGAACTAGTATGGGGAGCACAACATGAGAACATGAGCTAGGCAACTCAATTAATAGATACCATGAAAGGTTACTAATAAGAAGAAAAGAATCAGACTGAGGATTCATCAGTCTCCTGCACTGAACTACTACAGTAGATGCTTCCAGAAAGCTCACAGAAAACAGGAGAAGAATAGATATGTCCTGTTGCTTGAATTCCACATATATAAATGTATTTTCAACAATCATGCTTGATTTTCTGGAATCAAGGAACTTTATTATATTTGAATCTTACTTTTCCTTTAGAAAACTCAGTGTGATTTACATTGGATTTCTACAAATTCAGCATAAGTAAATTTGGGGAGCATGCTTTCAGTAGGAGCCATGCCACAGAGTATACACTCTGCTTTGCATCCTGATTGTAGAGCAAACCAAATGTCATTTGTCCAGAGTCTTAGTCTAAAGTTAGTAAATAGAAAAATATTCCTGGCTATCCTCTAGGTCCATCCCATCATCCAGTTATGACAATCTAGTGAGAGATGAATAGCACTACCCGCCCGCCCCCCCCCACCCACACACACACAAACACACATTGAAGAACAATGTACTCGGAAAACAAACCAAGCACTTTGGGTTACTTAACCACTAAAGAAAACTGATGTATTGACTGATCTACTGGATCACATTACACATTTTATATTCTTTCCTGGGTATACAGTATTCATTAAAGGGCAGGGTTAAACATGATGGTCCTGAATGGAGAGGGCTGTATCTAAGGCAATGGTATATGCTAGAGGGCGACACTTGAAAAATCATATGGCCTGGGCCCTTGGCATGAGTTGTCCTCCATGAGTGATCCTTCAACATCGTTGTGATGAGCATGCAGGGCTGCTCTATAGCCGCATTTCACAATGGTGACTGCACACCACACATTCTTCAATAGTCCTGGCTTCAGGATGATTCAGGGTGCCAAAAAAACTCAACACAGTCCTCATTTTAGACACTAAGGATGATTCTGACAAATATTAGCCAAACTGATCTTGGTTCTCATTTCTTGCTTATAGAGTATCTTATTCCAAGATACCTGCCTCCAGATCTGATCTTTTGGGAACAAATCCTGTATAATATTTGACAAATATTATGCACACTGAAAAGCTACAATGTACATATCTATATCTTCCCATTTAGTAGCACTTTTCAGAACAAGATTCTGCTGTAGTGTATAGTATGGTCAGAAGAGGAGGAGGAAGAGGAAGAGGAGCTGCTCTTTTATACTTTCCTTATTTTGTAGTTTTTCCCCACTATGTTCATTAATTATAGCCACCCCTTATGGCTAATTATTAAAAGATTTATTATAGCCACTTTTTTGCATATGTTTTGAAAATTATTACAAGAGATCAATATGTCTAGAAGTGAGTGTCTGAGAATTGGTAAAATGGATTCTCCCTGTATAAATGTCAGCACAGAATAATTCAGTCATATCACAGTACAAACACTGATGTGTGTGTAATAAAGCTGATCTGTCGGCTGTTGCACAGGCAAATGATAAAAGACTGCAATGCATTCAGAAGAGGTTTCTGAAATGGGCCCTCCAAACAATAAGTGACAAGAGAGGATCAAGAAGTTATTTTGGGTGCTAGTTAGCCTAGTTTAAATGAACAAGAGGGATTAACAAGAATTACAGACAATTTTCACCTTTTAGACCAGAATGTTGTTATTAAAGAAAGATTTGAGGGAAACATAAAAGTTAATCTACATGGCTACTTCTAGTGAAAAATTGACTACATTATCCACTGAAATTTCACTAATTTAGTTGTATCATTAAAATTACATCTCTAATTCACCTTGTTTTTTTAAAAAAAAATAGTGTCATATTTTATTTTTAAATTATGGACAATAGATTATCTGCAATATTTATTTCAACAACACAGTGTGGACAGCCAAAGAAATTGAACCAAGCCCAGTAATATACAGATGTTAGTTCTAATTAATATGACACAACTATCATTAGTCTTAATAATGTTGGGTATCCTTTTATCTGGATGTTTTCTAAAGTCATAAATGCCATTGCCTGAAAGGAATGCTATCATGTGTTAGTTGGGAATTGGGTAGAGGAACAAAGTCTTTAGGAAAGAATGAATGGATCTAAATCAAACAATTAAAATTAATTGCAAGACTGGAATATGATAATATAAAATTAATCCATTCAGAGTTTTCACAGAGATTATATATAGTTCCATCAGTTACAGTGGTGATAAGTACACTGCTAGGAGACCTGAAAGACCAGGTTAGGGATAGATCATCATGGAGAAAATCTATCTATGTGGTCACTAGGAGTTGAAAACGACTTGATGGCACATAATCAATCAATCAATTTTCAAAAGGTCACAGTCCAGAGGTAACCTATAGATTAATAGCAAGCTCATTTTTTGAATATGGATCTTTATGGGTCCAAACTTTCATCACTCAATTGTCTAAGCTATGCAACTAGAAATACAAAAAACTTTGTGGGAAAAAGAAAACTACTAGGAGGAGAGCAAACATAATATCCAGTCCAATGAAAAGGCAACATACTCAGTGGCCACAAAATGCTGAGAGATGGTTCGGGATGGACTGAACTTTAATTTCCACTAAAAAGTGGAAATGAACTGGAAGGAATGAAAAAAAAAAATCTGAAAAAAAGTCATGACTGTCTGCCTGCCTAGAACTCTAGACAAGGGCACTCTCAAGGCAAAATTTTAATGCAACTAATTTTGTCTAGTGCAACTAGATAAACTATCATTACATAAAAATAGTTTCCAGAGCCATTTACAATGCAGAAGAGTAACACTGTGCTCTTAAAACTCAAAAAAAAAGTGATCTGTAAAAAACATCTAGGGAAAAAGGATCAGTTGAATCACATAGTTTCCACCTGTCTGTTCTGTATAATAATTGTGAGATGATGCAGCTTGTTGTCTTTAAGAGAGCAAGGAAGAATTTCAGGAAGCCACTACAGAATTCTTTGTTTGTTCCAGACACATATGTTGTGGCCTGGTAGGTTACCTGTTAAACTGGAGATGTAAGAGAATTTATCGATTCCACTAATTATGTTAAGAAAAAATGATTTTGCAAGAGGTGGATCTATTACTGTTGAATCAATCATGTATTCTCTGAATAAAGAATTGGTGAAACCAGATAGAAGAGCAATGCTGACTGGTTAAAATCATTTTTGTTTATACAGGTAAAGCTTAATTGGCTAAATAGTAAGAGAAAGTCAAATATATTTGCAGAGTTAGTAATATCTGCTCCATTTTCAGTCTGCTTTCATTATTAGGGTCTGATAAACTCAATATCTTTTTAAGTAGTGGTAAAAGCTAGGACTGTGCAGGACTTTGAAGGAGCCCTTTGATTCAGCAAAGCTACAGCTGAAGCCATTCTTCAAAGCCAAGCACTGAACAGAGGCAGCGCTCCAGAAAGAAGATCAGAAAAGGCCCTTTTCTTCAGATCAAAGTAGTCAATTGACCTTTCAATCTGAAGCAGCAAAGCAGAGGGATTCACTTTTCTGAACAGACGTACTACAACATTTCAGATCACACTGCAGCCGATTTGTAATCCAGTAATAAAAACTTGCCCATTTTTCTTCAACATCAGAGCAATTTGGAAGCCCTGTCCTGGCTGAGGGCACTTTCCATAACCTTAACTGGTCTGAGAGTTCATAAAAACATTCTAGAAAATAGCTGACATCTTTTAAAGAAGTTGTTATAAAGACCAAAGGTGAACATCTGGGAAGAGGAGATGATTCACTGGAGACATGAATGGCTAAGATCTAATAATTAGATCATTTGGATAACATTGGTAAGCATATACATTAAGCCAGTGTTGTCCAAACTAGGTGCCACTTTAATGTTGGTGGATCTACACCCCCCTCTCTGTTTCGGGGGTTTTGGTGGTTTGATTGTTCCATATTATCATATAGTAGAATTTTTGGA